CTTGGGTTTGTTTTTAACTGTTACACTTGTTTTCTTGGGAACTAAGTTTCTGCATTCTCTGTTAAGATTGACTTTCTCTGTGGGATGGTTGCCCTGTCTATAGAAAAGGGTGTAAAATTGTTAAGAATTGTCCCAAGAGAACAGAAGAGATTTGTGTCCCTTCCTTGTAGAGTTCTGTAGACTGGGTTGGGCAAGTGGCTGGAATGCTCTTCACAAATCTCTCAAATTCTGTGGCTTTTTAATTTTCTCTCACATAAACCATGTAGATAACGATTTCTGCCACATTCTATTTGATAGTTTATAAGCTCACCTGAAAGAAACAGTTAAAATTCCATTGTTAAAAAATTGAAGTTTATTCCAGAGTTAACCCTGGCACTACAATAAAACAATCTCCACAGATTTTTTTTTTTTTTTATCTCTAGCCATCATAGTGGTGTCACAGATTACTTGGAACACAGAGTTGAAATGGTTTGAATTCTGCAGTTTAAAGGAACACAGCAAGGTAGTTTTAGTTATTTGTTTACCAAGCACTGCTTGTTTATGCTGTTTATGTTGTCCTACTTTCTTTTTAGAGTCTTCTCACCACCAGGATTTAGGCTGGGGCCCTATCCTTGCCTCCCTCCAAGTTCCTGAGCTAACCATGGAGGAGTTCCTGCAGGAGTGTCTGTCTTTGGGAAGCTACTTGACCCTCTACGTCTACCTGCTGCAAAGTCTAAACATTGACCAGACACTTGCCAATGAAATGAAAATCCTGCAAACTATTACTAAATGGCTGGAGCAAGTGTATCCAAGGTACAGACCTCCAGTCTGCTGAACGTGCCTTGATTTTTCCCAAGGCAGTAGTTGTACAGGCACTACAATGTGGCTGCTGAGTCCTCCATAATATCACAAACATCATCTTCCTGCCCATGTCCCAGTGCCAGAAAACAATGTGATGAAATGTCAGGGGGGATTTTGTCTGAACATCTGTCATTTTCCTCTTGGTCAGTTGTCAGTCAGAGGTGCTTGTTTTCAATGGCAGTCTGGATTTATGCGTGGTTAAGATTACTATAAACAAATTCTAAATCACTGTGGGATCCACTTTCCAGAATGTCCACTAGGTGGGATAGGATATATGCTAAATACTCAGTGTGATACTTTAAAGGTCTGGTGCTCATAGCTGTGCAAGGCAGAGTGTCAGCACTTCTGAACAAAATATGAATCTAGTCTATGTGGTTGAGTGCCTAAAATTAGAGGTCTGATTCCCTGTAAAGGTCAAAATACTTTATATGACAATACTTTATATGACAATAATTTATAATTACAATCTGTAACAATGGTATTTGCAGGCTGCTGAAATTATTGCCAGAATTTAGAAAAATTGATGGATATATCTGTATTTTAATGCTAGTAATGCTCATCTTTGCTGAGAGAAAATTTTTTAGGAAAATGCACATTCCACATGTTGCACATGCACAAAATGCACATTCTGTGTTCTTGGAATTTCAAGCATACATTGGCTGATGCCGAAGCTTACAGTTGTAGTAACTTCATTGCAAAAGTGGGAGAAGGCAGCCAGTTTAAACCCTCAAGACTGGAGGAGCCTGGCCTGAGAGAAACAACTGGATAGAGCAATCTGAGCATGGTCTGATGCAGAGAACTTGTGCTGGTGTTGTATGTGGAAAACCTGAGTTCATTAACTGCAGCTGTTTGGGGAAGAATTAAAAATACCACAGGGGAACTTCACGTTGTGTTTTGCTCAGAAGCAGTTTTTGGCATTTCCTCTTCTAGATGAACTTATCAAAAATCTTAAGTTTTGCTGGAAATAACAACTAGTGCTTCCTAAGGTGTTTTAATGATAAGTAAAGGAAGTAGTAGAGGTCCAGCTTCATCTCTTTTAGTCCAAGTTCTACATAGACTTAAATGCATTTAAGCCTGCAATATCATTAATTCTTAGATGTAAAACTTGAAAGCAAGTGTTATTCTTTGTCCTTTTAAAGGCTGTTAAAACCTGCTGACTGTTTTCTGCGTCAAGGTCATAACGATAGGAGTTGCAGCTGCACATTTGGGGGACTGATAAACTAAGATGAACGGTCATTAATGTGTCACCTGAACTCGTCACAGGGCTAGTGGGGAGATGTGCAGTCATCTTAACCTGTACACTTCTGCCTTTCTTAATCTCTCCAAAGCTCAGCAAAGGAAGAGGCGAAGCTGTTCCTTTGGTGGCACAAAGCCCTGCAGCTCTCCCTGGTTCAGCTGGAGCAGGACGATGCCGTGCTGATGGAGTCTGTCCTCCGGACACTGCTCTCAATACAGGGCAGGCAGGGGCAGCTGGCTGAGGAGAGACTGACCTCTGGCATTCTTGGTGCTATTGGGCTGGGCAGGAGGTCTCCGTTGTCCCCCAGGTAAGGGTTTGGAGGTGCAGTGAGTTCGTTGAGTCTCTGTGAGTTGTCATGTTGCAAAAGCTGCAGCCTGGATCCAGGCTGTAGAGAGCAGTGCTGAAAGCTGCTCCGATTCAAGGCTGTTCCCAACTCTATAAAGGTACTTGGCCCCAAGCTGCAGTGAGTTGTAGCAACTGTAGTGAGTGTGATTTTTGGCTCAGTTTCCATCTCTAAGTTTGTAGGCAGACTTTATTATAGGAAATTCCTCTTCTATCCTCTTCTGTAGAAGGCTGCTCCAGTTTGCATGGCAAATTCATGTGATTATTGTGCACTCTGTCTTTTCCATCTTAATCTTGAGGTGTTGGAAAATGTTAGAGAGATGTTTAAACAATACATGCTTGTTGCTGTTTCCTTTCTAAAGAGATGGAGTAAACTTGGCTATGAGATGCTGAAGTGGAAAGAATGCCAAGGAGAAATACATAAATGCTTGTGGAACATGGTCCACATAGTATTTAACTTTCTAAAGACCTCCTGGGATGCAATCCTGGCATTGTTGAAATTACTTGGAAGTTTTATTGTTCCACTCATCCTTTGATTTTAGTCATGTGGAGGTCTCAAAGGCTGTTAAATGAGTGTTTCGGATTGACCTCAAGGCTGTAGCTAAGCTCAAGCAAAATGCAACATTTCATGTATGTGGTATCATACTATCCTCTAGTGAATATATGGATATACTATAGTGTATATATTATAGTATTCTTTTTCTTACATGCATTAAAAATAATCCTCTAAAGCATCTGCTGTGTTCCCATGCAAGAGATGTCTCACTGGATAGAACTTGTGGTTTGTGCTGTGGAGGACTTAAAAAGCTGACGTCCCTTCTTACCCTTTTCCCCGTGCCAGGTTCCGGGTGGTGGCCCGCAGCTTGTCCACCTTCCTCCTGGTGCAGATTCCTGCGGAGAATCAGGTCCGCCTGAAGGCCGGTTCGGAGCCCAGGCTGTCGCAGAAGGCCCAGCAGGTACCGTGTGCTGCCCAGCCTGAGCTCCCTGGGGCTGTGGGCACTGCACGTGTTGCCCAGCCTGAGTCCCTGGGGCTGTGGGCACTGCAGGTGTTGGAGCTTCCCGCTAAGTCCTCGTGTCAGCTTTTTGATTTTATCCAGCACGAGATACCCTCTGTGTTGTTGTCCTTCGGGTTTTTTGTTTGTTTGTTTTTGGTATGTTTTTATTTTCTACTGCTTTGCATGTGGGACCAAACTCCAAATGTCGGAAGTAGTTTGTTGCTCTCAGTTGTCTCCTCGAGGGGAGGAGTGTATCACAAATTCACACAGCATTTGCTGTTCTTCAAAATGCCACCTTGGAAGCTGCCAGATCCAGGGGCAGGTGCAGTGTAGGCCTGGTGGTGGTTTGAGTTTTTAATGGACTTTGCTGTTGGATCTCACCATGGTCTGAGGTCTGCTGTGGATACTGGATATGTACATACCAATTCATTTGTAGTATGACATAAAAATGTGATAGCTTGAAACCACTTCAAGTGGAATCTGGACTTCTGTGCTTTACTTGATCTTCGTCATGGACTTGGATTTTCTCAGATGGGTGGTAACTTGTTGGACTGTGATGGGAGGATTGTGTGTCTCAGCTCTAGGCTGCAGTCACCCTAAGCTGACGCCAGGTAAATCTGTTCACACAAACTTCTGCATGAATATGCAGGCATTGTTTTCTAATCTTAGACTGAAAAAAAAATACAATTTTAGGTCATTTCATGTCCATAAACACCAAGTTCTGAAACTTTGGAGCATAACAAAAGGTAGAAGGGATTAAAATAAAAATAATAATGTTGTCATCGTTGTGCTTTTCAGGACTCTCTGTAGGCCATAGTCACACTTGGACAATATTCACACTAATATTTGCTTACCTGAAGATAGGGTAGGGCTTAAAAGCCCTATGACTAATAAATGTTCCTTTTCCAGTGTGCATGCCATTCATGTTGTTATTTCAGTATAAAATAAGAATGTGCACAAGAGTAGGAAGGAGGAGTGGACTAGAAATGCAAACAGTAATTTGTTTGGTAGGGCTTGTTTTTGTTCTTTGAGAAATAAACAAAATTTAGGATACAAACAAATAGGATATATTCCAATATCCATTTTAGGTGGCAGTGCTATCATAATATATTTATTTTTAGTGAAAGTTAAAGATGTCCGTAAGATGTTGCTATATTTTGGTGTGTATTTTGATTTGCACTAAGACCACGTCTTCATTGCATGACATAAATACATGTCAAAATATGTCAAATCTAAGTCATGCAGTCACAGCAAGACTTAAAGTATCTGTTATGTTGATCTCAAAGGAACAAATTGGGGTATATGAGGTGGCTTGAAATGGCCTTGTGTGATTGTATTGGTATAAATGCTGTATTTGGAGGGCTCCGTGCTCTCTAGCAGATGAGGATCTTCCAAGGGGATGGTGGCTCTGCAGCTGCCTTCTCACACTTGCGAAACACGTGGACCAAAGCCCATGTAGCTAACAGCATTTTTTGTGTGTCTATAGGCACTGAATGCTCTCGAGTCTATGTCGTCAAACAAACAGTACATGGATTATCAGGAGCAGCTCTCCCAGGCTTCTCAGTTCATCAGGCATCCGGAACACTGTCTTCGAGATGGCAATAACCTCTTGGCTCTCCTTGTTAACACCCTGTACCCAGAAGTGCATTATCTGGACAGCATACGGTAGCAGAATGGGTGCCAACATCGTCACGCAGCGTTGGATTGCTCTGGTTTACATTCGAAGCTGTTTTTGTTGCACAAGTAACTTGGACCTGCAGATTTCCACTTGAAATAAGTCAGAGGTGTGAGTGAGAACTGCACACTGGCAAGTTGTATCCTTTCTTTTCTTTAAAGCACTTATGATCTGTAGGCCTGTGGAATTGCTCAGTTTTTGTCTACTGAAAAGACTTGATTATCCTCCTGTGCATGATACATGTAAGAGAGGAGGGCACCGGAGAATAGACACCCAAATCATGAGGCAGCAAAGATCATCCCTGATTCTTGTCGCGTCTTAAGTTTTTGCTTTGTGCCTTTCCATTTTCCAATGTGTCATCACTTGAGCCAGTGCAAACTGGATGGGGATCTTCTGTGAAATAGCTTTTTGACCTCTAAACCTTAAGTTATTGTCTGCTCGGAGACTTGCAAACTTGTATTTGGGAAGATAGTATTAAAAATATGAATTCTAAAACCTAGCGAGTTTGCTTCCATGTTGCTTAATTGAATGCAAGTCGTTTCTGTCCATGTTGTTTTGGAGACAGATAAAGTCTAGAAGGTAATTTTCAGGATTCCTCAGTGTGTGGGAGGGAAACAGGCAACTATGTGTTCATGTTAAGTAAGTACTGGCTTAATTCTGAGAGTCTGGTTGTTTAGGACAGAGGGGCTTATCAAGCAGACACCTCTTGAATTCTATTCTTTTATTCTTAGCTGGGTGTGATGTAACAGGGTTTGAGATGACACTGTGAAAAGCTGTTTACCTTGTGTTAAATTTGATGATTACTCGTTAAAACCTTATTATGAAAGCATGAGTAATAAGCCTGCCAATCTGTTGTTGCAGTGGAAAGACCACTGTTTTTGTTGCCTTGTCTGGTTGCAAGATGCCCCTGTCTTTAGGGAAGGCAGCAGGTGAGTTTCCCAAGTTACTCACATAATTCTGGCCATTTTCTCCCTGATCTATTCCAGGGGGCCCAGGTCCCAGCCTGTGCACCTATGCAGAGGAACAGGGACAGCTTTTCTGTCTTGTGCCTTTCTGTTTAGAACATGGTTATGCATTAAACTTTAGTTTTGGTCACTAGTGGGAAGAAATGTGCTCCCTACTGTGTGTTCCATAGCGTGTCGCTGTGAAGGATTTACACTTACCTGGGATTTCAGTGCTGGAGAAGAAGCCCCCTCTCTTCTCCTGACAGATCTGCTAACTCTACCAGCTGGGTCATTCAATCACCTTCATCTGGTCTTACAGTTCTTTGCTCTATCCGTGAGCCTACACGTTTATGTACATCCCTCTGTATATTAACCAGACATCCATGCAGCATGGTTTGTAACAGACTCTTTTGGAAAATTCACAACTGGAAGGAAGTTTTGTTGCTTTCTTTTCTTTTTTCTTTTCCCAGAAACAGAAAAGCACTGGTTTTACTAGATTCGATGTTATCGGTCGATTGTGTAAGAAATGTGAAAAAAACAGCCAGAAATATATGTATGGCATGCACTTTTAAAAAGATATTGTTTCAGCTGTTGAGTTTTTACAAATGATGTATTTATAACATGCTCTGTCTGCAAAGACCATGCAAAATAAACTTGAAAAATGATGTAATTCCTGACCAATACTGTGATGTTCTCAGCTTGATCGAAGAGTCCCAACCAGGTAATACATCTTTGTTCTTGGAAATAAAAGTGTGGGGGAAATGCCAGAGAGTTGATAGAGATTTAGGGAGTCTTCTCCTTGAAATGCAGGAGTTAAATCCTTGCTCTGCTTCTGTTCATTCTGTACACAACACAACAGGAGAAAGCTCAGCTGTGAAATGGAAGAAATGCTTCTCTGTCTTAGGAAAATTCCACAGACCTTTTTGGAGTTCTTAGTGTCATCCTTTCCTCCTGTTTCCTGTAGTTACACTCTGACGTACACCCCACGTACACCCCATCCCCAAAAAGCTGTGTGAGAAAAGATGCGGTGAATAGCATCTGATGGTACCTATTTGTTGCTCTGCCTGCAATGCAGCCTAGATGCTGACTTCTGAGTCATTAATGTTAGGTGAAATCCTGCTCTTTGTCTCTCTACAGTGTTTTCAAGTCTCTACAAACCTGTTTTTTGTATGACTGTCTGTACAGCATGATGGTTACTGCCTTCCCATAGTTATTGCGGTGTTTGAAGTCATCCAAAGGGCATGGTGTTGATGGGGTCTTGTTTTCAGGCTGCTCTTGATGGTGGAAGCTCAGACAACTGCAGTTTTTCCTCAGAGAACTGCTCATTATGGGCTGCAAACAAAAAGATTTGCCAGAATTGCTTGGTGAAGGTTATTTTCATTCAAGCTGCTCTGTGTTATACATAATGTGCTAAAGAGATCCATGTGCTCTCTCCATTTCTCTTAGATTGATTTCATTTTGCATAGGCAGGAAAGAAGAATGCAAATCCGCCTATTACACCAAGCACTTGTTCTTGTCCCAAAATCAAATCTTAAAACAGTATTTTCTGACAGAGGTAGGGAATCAACCCCGTTGTGTTAAATACTTGATAAAAGATGGACAAAATACAGCTGCTGTATTGTATCCCTTAAAACCAAGACCTTGGTCTGTCTAATTCTAACCTGCAGCATTGCTTTTTTTTTTTTTTCCCGATATGTTAAATGTGATTGGGTAATCTCAGAGGAAAGGCTGAGTTTTGGGTTGTTCTTGCAGCTTTCAGCAGATGATGATGAAATCCGAATAACAACTGCTTAATACAAATACACCTTTTGAATAATTTGTGGAATTTAGAGAGTGAATATATGTGGCTTCTGCGGTGTTTGTCTCTGCCAGTACTAATTGCAATTGAGTGAACTGTTAACCTGAGGATTGCAGCTTAAATATTTATTAGAAAAACAGGTCACACAGGGCAATGGACATAACAGTTCAAAGTGGCATTAACTTAAGATAATGCTGGGGAGTGGAAAATGAATGCCTGAAGAGCAAGTGTGAAATATGTACAGAATCACATTGGTCTTTCACGTGCACATGTCCTCTGGAGTGTCCCACAGGGAGCACAGCGTGGTGGTGATGGGCATTTGTGTCACTTGAGACCATTTCTGGAAGCTCAGCTGATTTGTGGAGCAACAGCATATCCTCCCAAGTCCTGACTATGGCTTATACACGTGTGTATATGAAAAAACTGCAGGAAAAAGAGAAATTGGGACACTTAACTGTTAGGCAAAGCAAAGTCAGTGTGGGAAGGTCGCTTTCTTTCCCTTCACGTTCTTCTGAAATAACCTCCTTTTCCAAAGCATCTTGTTGGGCATCGCAGTTCTTCCCATTTGCTGCACTATTGTGTGCTGCACTCAGGGGCAAGTAAGCAGAAGTTGAACAACGTTGATCCATGAGTTTCCTCACAGATTTGAATTACTGCAGATGATGTTACACACTGGCAGCACTTATGAATGTAGCATGCTGACACCGTGCAGATGTTCAGGTCCCGTTTTATGCTGTTTTGTGACTCTTCTTCCTCTTCCATCTCTTCTATTTTCATTAAACCTCTCTCACCCCTGCCAGGCTTACAAACTAGGGTTTAAAAGCTAGATTATCTTCTTGTACTGATTTTCCTTTTTATATTGGGCTGTTATCTTGTTACTCATTTACAGCTATGTGCTCTGGTTTAACAGCATAGGTGTTACAAAGAGGTAAAATTTAAAATAAGAGCTCTCAGTACCAGCCCTTTGGTGTCCAGAGTCTTGGTTGTGACTCTTTGGCTACAGGCCTCCCTGACTGGTTGAGTTGCTTCAGGTGAGAGAGAACTGGTGAAACACAAGTGTGATTTACACTATAAAGACAACCTGCACCCCGTATTGCTGCAAGGGTCACCCAGAAACACAACTGTAACCACAATGGTGAGATAAGGAAGAGGGGCTACAGCTCAGAAGCGTTTAAGGGATGTGTTGTTGGGGCTTAAAGGAGTTTCTTCACATAATGGATAAGCCACTTAGAAATTACCTTACCTAAAAAGAAAAAAAATTGCTTAATTGTAAAGTATTTTGAGATTTCCTGGGGGAGAACTGATTATTTTTCTTAGCAGAGCTATTCATAGAGTTTGTTTTGTTGCTGCGTTGCTATGATTTCTATGTGTAAGTCCTGAGGTTAAGCTGGTGTGTGCACGCGCTCTTATGTACCTGTTGTGGTACTACTATCAAGACTTACAAGTAAATTTACACTATAGATCACCTTTGAGTTTGCTGTTCTCAGATGTCAGCTTTCTGAATTTTTATTTATTTAGTTAGTTCTGTTTTTATTTTGCTTGGGCCTCTCTTGAAAGTAAAGATGTCTTTTAAAGTTTCAGATAAATTCTTTTAGAAGCTAAGGAATTAAAAAAAAAACACTCCAGAAATTGCAAGAATTTTTTTTTCCACCTCTGTTATTTTAAGAAGCAGAATGGGCCTGTTGCTGGCTCTAAGTTCTGTATGGTTTTGACTGGTTTTAAAGTAACTAGTTTTGAAGTAACTCAGGGAAAAAAGTCTGTAGCCAAACAATGGGAGGAAATGGTAGACTCCCATCTGCTTGTTGAACACTGTCTGATGCAGCTTGAAAACTACAGATTGACTGGACATCTTGGGTAGATCCTCTTCCACTCTTCCAGCTCATCCTTCTCCTTTTCCATCCTCCCTTAGACGGCTGCTCTTGCCCACAGGTCGCAGCCAGGAGGAGGACGTTGCCCCCGGGAGGCCTGGTTGACCTTCCACGCGGCGCTCGACGCAGTCTGGTGCTCGGGGAGTCCCCTCGGTGCAGGAGCGCCGCGGGCGCAGGGAGCGGGTCCCTAGGAGCGCGCGGGCAC